GCCTCATAATAAGTGGATTCATTTAGACCGTCACCAAACTACCATGTGCATAAACTTTACCCATGTAACTAACCTATTTACCCAATTGGCTTATCTAAGGTTATATTACCTGGCACATGTGTCACCGTTGTTTAATTTGACTATTTAGCCTCAAATCAGAATTCTATATTTTTTTTGGGGTCTAAACTTGTGCTTTCAAGTGGGCGGCGCATGCACGGCTGATGTAGCCCTAGCTTGAACCAAATAGACTTTTCCACGACTGACACAAGCCTTCTGTCTACAAGGCAGGCGGGGAGGCAAGCAGGGCCCGTGCGTTGAGACTTTGATGTCAAGCTGAGGGCGTACGTGTAATAATTATAAAACATTATCTTGCGGAAAATATGAGCAGCTACTTGCTTGGTGTATTTTTTTTAGAAGATCATAAAATAAAAAGAGACCAAAATCCCCTCTTACTTTCGGTTTATTTAGTGTAGATGATGCAAATGAGGACACAAACAAAATATTTAGCCTTATGCTCATGTGGGTGATGCGCACTTAGCAGTGCCCATGCTTCCATTGCAAGTTACAAGCAAACATGTCTTTATGTTGTTTCGCACTTCGAAATATTCATATATAAAATTCTAGTACGAAAAATTTGTAATAACTCTACCTATCATTCTCTAGAATGGTTATATTTTAAGTCGTTTTTTAAGAGTACGATAAAATGACTAAACGGTTTCTGATTTGATTTTTTTTCTTTTTTCTTTTTATGCAGGAATGATCCTTAAAAGATACCTTAAACAATAACGGAAAATTTGGGAGAGAATGAAATTTTCGGATATGATGTTTTCTTGTGGAGTGCTATAATTGGATTTTCAGAGCTTACTATTTAGGAACATGAAAGGCAATGAGTGTGGGAAACATGTAATGTAATGTTAATTATAGACTGTGATTGAAGGCCGTGAGTGGAGGCCAGGTGGTGCGCCATGTGTGAAACAATACAAAGATTATAATCTTGGCGATGAAGGGATATATAATATATCTAGTGTGAATGTGTTACTCCAATTACGTACAATTGAGTGATGCCTAAGCTTGTTAGCATTATACCATCTTATTTGCTTTTTCGCCTTTATGTATTTTCTTTTTTTCCTTTATCTTTTGTACTTTATTTTTTTTCTTTTCCCAATTGGTGTCTTTATTACTTTTCCAAGTGGTCATGTAAAAGCCGGTCATCTTCCATATACACAAGGATATATCCATGTTCCTTGCCTTGTTCCCCAAGGTTTCTTTTTGTAATCTTATCATCAAATTAGTGAATTACAATAATTTTATAAGGGGAAAATTTATTTATGAAAAGGATAGATACCTAGTCAATTATCGCACCAGCAAATGACAAAGTAGAGGTGGTCGTGAAAAACTTTTCTGCTAAATAATCTTGCAATGAATTAATTCATCCAAAATCTAGGCCTGTTAGAACCTCATTTACTATTTAAGCTCTTCACGAATCACAAATAAGCTCCACAAAACTCTCTTTTATAATTAAGAAATTTTCAAACACGTGGGATTAGGAGGATACGTTTTAGTCATCAACTTTTTATAAATAGTCCCCAATTCTTTTTATATGTTAAAGAACATATCTATATTATGCCTTGAATGTACATGAAATCAGGGGCGGAGCCACACTGGGACCAGTGTGGTCCCGGGCCCCCACTCAAGTTTTTATATATTTTTAAAGTAATATACTGTTATGTATTACTATATGTATATTATTTCAAATACTTTACGTTTTGATATGTACCCACATGTGTTGTGGTGGATCTATTAAGGCACAATGAGGTGCTTCAAATTGCCCATTTGCTTAGTTGGTGGTGGTGCACTCCAGGTGTACAGATTACCTTATTTCCATTTTCAGCATTTAAGTAAATGTCTTTGTCCTTTTACTTTAATTTATTTTTATATTACTCCATTTACTTAAGTTTACAATGTAAATAAGGAAGTACCCCCTATTTGGATTCAAATAAAAATACTAGAAAATCAAATTCCCACCAAATCAAAATATGAAAAATCGGTTTTAGTGCAAAATACGATTTAGGCTAAAAATGATGGCTCATTAAGTCAATATATACTTTATATTAAAATCCCATAAAATCAAGTTTTCTTATTTGATGTGTAAGGAATAAAAGCCGCCAAAAATTATCTTGAGAAAATAATTATTTTGAAAAACCATTTTTCATACTTAGTCAATATTTTTACATAAAACATTTTTTTCATGTATGATAATATGATATGAATGCATGAAGGGACCTAAGGTTTTTTTTAGTTTGTGAAATTTTAATTTTTTCTTTCTATTGGGTTTAATGGGGAAAAAAAGCTTTAAAGATATTTGCTAAATCGCTACTCTTTGTCTATCTCTTACAATTTTTCTTGCTTAAAATGTATCTATCTATCTCTTTGTCGAGGACAATTATGATTGCAACCAATAAGCAATATAATTCTTGACATATGTGATATATATACTATTTTTCGTATGTATTGTGAGTTCGAACTTTTGATTCTTTATAATTTGTAAGAGGCCCCCACATACATGAAATCCTGACTTCGCCACTGCATGAAATGTAGGTATTTTGCCAGAGTTGTCAGGTGGACTAAACTATAATTAAGTATTATTTTTCTAATAATTAAGCGACATGTATGATGACAAATAATTCGATGAACAATTTTAATGAGCTTAATTAGCATTATAGACCAACAAATTGGTAGTTAGTTGTAGCCATATCTGCCTGAATCATTAATCTCATAATAAAGAAAGATTGCATTTGGTGGAGGGGCAATTAAGAAAGAATGATCATGATCGCATCGAGAGAGGCAATCGGATGCACACAAAAAAGCTGGTGCATGCAGTCTACTACTTGAGAGTCAAACCTAGAACACATGAAAAGAAACAAACACGATCATCATCAAATTAAGAAAACAAAAAGTTTTGGATAAGCGTAAAGCATGCCACTAATTAAACCAAACAAAAACACCTTTAATTTCCTTTCCGCTATTCTTTGATCCTGATCTCATCCCACTTTGCAAACCCATTTTCTCAGCTGTTCAGATAGCAATTGGAATGAAACTAAAGTAGGGCTTTTGTTTATCATGCTGAGAAGAAGTAACATGGGTTTGGAATAGTGTAGCAGTGGGGGCACGTGTGGAAGTTCCAGCTGAGCAAAGTGATTAAGAATGTAATATAAAATTAAAATAGTTTAGTTAAGGTGCAAATAGTCTTGGTAAATATGGAGGCTGAGAGAGAGAGAAAGAGGGAGAGAGAGAGAGAGATAATATCGAGGAACATGTCACCTTGATTAGCGGTGAAGTATGGGTTTTGTGTCTTAAGCTTGTCGTTTGCCTTTTTGATGGTGTGAGTGTTTGCACTGTCCATGGAAAGAGTTTATAGATTCTTTTGGGAAAAAGTTTGACCATCTGTCTGTTTCCTCTGCATTTACAGTTTGACCAGACCACAAGATCTGCAATCCCACTGTCACTCTGTTGCTCTTTTGAGTGGAAACCAGCCCACACTAATCTCAATCTTAACCTAAACCTAAATGCTATTTAATTAATTAATCTGTTAATGAAATCAACAAGGCAAATATCAATGGTGGGCTACTTATTACTTCCCCGGAGTTTGTTGGCAAACCAAAGTACAATCATTAGAAATTATTTAATAACAACCAATGTAAAGCTAAACATTGCTGCTATAGTTTGTCTTTTGCAAATTGGTATTTGTATTGGATGAGTTGGGGGTCATTTGGATTTGTGTATGTATAAGTTTTTCTTTTTGTATTTTTAATGCATTATTTTTGTATATGTGTTCGAGAAGAGTATCTCTTTACAAGTATGGAGGCAAGCAGTATCCTTTTATTTTTGTTTTGACATGGGCAATGCCCAATTTTGTAGCTTGCAATTGCACCCTTTTTCCTTGTTTTGGCCCTGGGCTCCTGACTAAGTGGGACTTTGCAAAAGATGACAACTTTGAAAGGTTCAAAAAACTCACACTTCTGGGCCTGTATTGATTAGGCCTGAACACTCCACATCACAAGGCCTGAAATTTATTGGTTTTCCCCTTTGTTCTTCTTTTGGTATGCAATTCAATTGGTACTGCAGCAACAAAGGATACTGTGAGTCATGCGACAAGGACAAAGGAAAGTGCCAAGCAGCTTCGTTTTATCCAAATTCTGAGCACAAATCAATAATTTATGTATCCGCCCTGATCTTCCATTTATATATATATATATATATATTTGTCAAACTTCCATTTATATTTCAATTACTGAATTTTTCAATAATACATCCAATGAACCGATGTATTTCATTTTTTAAATTAAAAATTAAAATCCAACCGTGGATGAAACAATGCATCGATACATTCAAATTCAATGTAGTGCAGTAGTACACTCGATTATGATTGATTAAGCAACTTCACAACAAGAGTTAATACAATCGCATTTCTGATTTCATTTGTTGGTGAACATTTCTTCTTTTGTGCATATCTTGGAGAATGAGGCAGACCATAAAACTTACCTGTGACTCGTGACTCGTGACTCGTGAGAAGGAAGGAACCGACTATACACCGAATGAACCACACGCATTCCCAACTCCAAATTCCAGAATTGAGAAGCATATCATATCATGTGACATGTCTCTGTGCTTCTATCACGTGAAAATCCAATCCAATGGCCCTTAATCAATTTAATATAGAAAACGGTCCCACCAAAAAAGACCTGGTCCAACTTGGATGGTCAGGATGAAAGCAAAGTTAAAACCAGCCAACAGTAAAAAAACGCATACAAGCCACCATTTTCCCCGCAGCTATAATTCGTCATCTTCTTTATATTCCGCCGCTGCTTAATCCATAAGCTTCTCAAACCATCCTCTTTCTCTGCTTTTCTGTCTTTTGAACGTTCACACGCCAGAACTGTGTCTTCTTGTCCGATCAAAGTAACCAAACTAGTGCAGAACAGAGAGTGAGAGACATCAGAATGGGAAATGATAGGAAGATTGGCGTTGCCATGGACTTCTCAAAGAGCAGCAAGAACGCGCTGGAATGGGCTGTGGACAATTTGCTTGACAAAGGTGACACCCTTTACATCATCCACATCAACCCCAACTCCCTCGACGAGTCTCGTACCCAACTCTGGGCCCAATCTGGTTCTCGTAAGTTCATAAAGTCTCATCCTTTTTATGTATATATAGCTAAAGTTTAAAGCTTTAAATCAAATCAAATATCAACTTGATCTGGGGTTTTTTTTGAGCTGAAGATTAAAGCTTGAAATCAAGTTTGATCTGGGTTTTCTTTACTTTTCTTTTTGCAGCTCTGATTCCATTGACAGAGTTCAGAGAGCCCGAGATCATGAAGAAGTATGATGTGCAAACTGATATTGAAGTTCTTGATACACTTGACACTGCTTCCAGGCAGAAAGAGGTTTGCTTTCTTGCTTCTCTGTTTTTTTATTGGGTATAAATGTTTGAATTTGATCTATGCTTCATCTTGCCCATCTGGTTTTGTAATTAATGGTTGTTTCTTGTTGGGTTTTGACGGGATGATTTGAAGGCGAACATTGTGACAAAACTGTACTGGGGAGATGCAAGGGAGAAGCTTCTTCAGGCGATTGAAGATCTGAAGCTGGACTCTTTGGTCATGGGAAGCAGAGGCCTTGGTACCATCAAAAGGTATTGTAATTTTCTTTCTTTTTTCCCTTAATTTGTTTAATTATTTATTTACAACATGGTTTTCTTAATTGTGCAAATGAAACAGGATCCTGCTGGGGAGTGTGAGCAACTATGTGCTGACAAATGCTCCAATCCCTGTGACCATTGTCAAGGACCCAAGCTTGCAACACCATTGAATCATGGACAGTTGGAAACTTTGGATTTGGTTTTTCAATAATGTTTCATCACCTTTGACATGGGCATTGCTTGATTTTTATGTTTTACTTGATTGTGGTTTACTAGAACATTTCAAGTTATGATGTCTAACGGATGGAAATGTACTCTGTTTTGAATAGCAATGAATTTGTGTGTATTAATTTGGTTTGTCTCATTGCCTTCACGCGCATTCATGAAATTATTGAATTTCTTGACAGGAAACAGGTCATGCTCATTATTATAAGAGCATTCACAATGAGCTTTTTAAATCACATCATTTGATAAATTTTAGAGACGAATTAGAAAATTACAACTCCATTATGCTCCCATCCACCTCATAAAATAAAAAAACCTCTAGAAGCTCTTAAATTTGAGGAGAGAGAAAAAGCTCATAGTGGTTCTCTATAATTTAATGCTGCTTTATTTAATTAGTATTTCAAACTTTTAATTAATGTTAATTATTTTTTATATTATTTTTAATAGCGATGGACTAATTAAAAAAGAGTTATAGCATTTATGAGTCTTTAAACTAAAGAATATGATTGGAGTTTAAATTTTATAGAGAACTCTTAAAACAACTTTTATATACTTTTAGCTAAAATTTAACTACAAAATAAAGAGTATGATTGTGGATGCTCTAAAATACTATAATGAGGTCCATCAGCTCCGTTGAACTGAAATTAATATACAATTTAAGACAGATTTGTGTTGCTGATATCAAACTCAGACGACCCATAAGTTGCTTGTTGCATTTGCACTATGCAATTTATTCCATACCACCACCCCCCCTCTTCTTTTTTCTCTTTCTTTGGGTACCGCAGCTAAAAAGAATTGGCAAAAGAAGCTGCAAGGCATGAGATATGGGTTATAACTTATACGAGGGGAACAAAGCAACAACCTCTTTCCTCCTCCATTATTTTCCTCTGGGGCTGCTATTATAAAAATGTAGCATATACGGTGGTAGAGTCTCGTATGGATGATGAGTGCATTCTATAAGTAAGTTGATGGCTACTTACTTGTAAAATATCTATTTATGGTGTATAGCTGCACGGCTGTACGGTGATTTTTTGTTGTTTTTTTTATATAAAGCGTATTGCCTAGCGTCTATAATGTTAAAATATCTATTTATGTAGTATTGCCCCCCGGCTTTCCTTTCATGAGTAATTAAATAATATCTTAGCCTTATTTAATCACTTTCATTAGTAATTATATTTAATGATTAGTATGTTTTACTTGATCTTGGAGACCTGGTCTCCTAGAATTGTTCAAGTTATAATAGTACAGAATGGATGGGCATGTTATGTTACGTGTATACTGTTTTCAAGAATAATATATTTGTCCCCATCAAATCTGATTTTGTGTATTTGTTCTTCAATCATAGCCATCCAAAGTGGTCACAAGTACGGGTGGGCAAAAACCTCAACCATTCAAATTAAAATGCTCGGTTAGGTTTGGTTTTCACACTTTAAAAGTATAATTTTAGAAAAAGCAATTAATTTAGTTTAGTACATACTATTAGTTTTTGATGTATAAATCAAACCAATCCGTACTATAATATTACATTAATTCAAGTTGAAGTTTGAAGCTCAAATCAAACAAAACCGACCCCTCGTCACAACGCACATCCTATTTACATCTTTGTCTCATAATTTGTCTCTACACACATTTATGAATTTGTTACATTTGTTTGCAAGAAACAAGTCCTGGTCTGCTGCAATATAAAAAAGAAATACTCTCTTTATTGAGATCCAAAATATCCAAATAAAAGCAACTAGGTCATCCGTCCACCACCCACAACACAAGTATTTTCTCATGCTTGGTCGATTTTAATAAGATAACAAGTGCAACAAGGTCGTAACAAAACAGAGAGCAGTTTTGCTGATATATATTATACAAGCGATATTAAGAAAGGAGAAATTGAACTTAGAACAACGAGTGGATAGATAAATACTCTTAACAGACTTTTGTTTGACTGACATTTCATAACAAAGAGGGCACTAATAAATATGTATTCTTACATTGATTCATGAGCCATTTACTTTGCAAGTAGTTTGGTGCTTTCACAACGACCAAGGAAGAAAGCAATTAGTGTTTCTTTATTAGGAGGCAGAACTTCCTTAACAACACTGTGGCTCACAAACTCATCACACCAATCATGTAGCTTGGGACACTTCTCTTTGGTCAACACCTCCACACCCACAGCTTCTTGAATTGGTCTAAGCCAGTAGCCTATGAAGCTAGCAGCCATGTCTACAAATCCAATTGTCTCTCCCCAAAAGAACTTGTTATCCTTGAGCTCATTTTCAAGAAATTGCAGAAGCTCACAGGCTTCTTCCATAGCCTTCTCATGGCCCTCAATTTCCCAGTAAGCTTTGCATATTGCAGGTGAGCACTAAAAAGAGTAAAGTCATACAAAACACATTGAGAATCGGCATAAATAAGCTGACACACAGGTAAGAAAATAGGGGCTCTATCTTTTCTTGTCACACTTATGTTATCTCATATTGTTAATTTAGACCACACGTTAACGCAAGAGTTAATTTGAGTATCAACTTTTTAAATATGCTTAAGGGTTCATCAACATGATATTGATCTATACCCTAACAGAGAAATGTGAACCAGTCGATCTAACAGCTATATATATTCTCGATGTTAGATAGATGGCATAAATGATTGAAGTGAAACAATATATTTATACCTTCTCATCAATGAAGCTAGCCCAGAAGCGTGCATTGGCTCTTTGGTAAGGGTCTTGAGGCAATATTGGAAGGCCCTGATGCTTCCAAGTCTCATCAATGTATTCAAGAATAACAAGGGACTCTGCTATTGGTTTCTCATTGTGTACAAGCACAGGGACCTTCTTGTGAACTGGATTGTACTTGATGAGCGAAGGGCTCTTGTTCTGCAGGTCCTCTTCGCAGAATTTGGATTTCACACCTTTCAGTCTCAGAGCTATATCCACTCTGAGACTTAATGGGCTTCCCCTAACCCCATAGTGCTTCACTTCCTCTGCCTCTGCCATGGTGTTTTAGGTTCAAGTTTTAGTCTTTGCTTGTGGGTTTTATAGAGGAAGAAATTCTATAATGAGTTTGGTGACGAAAAGATTCTGCGTCACATTTTGCCTATCGAAACTCGACACTCTTTGGTTTATTAATTTTAAAAGACTAGGTTAATTAATATTTGTGTACTTATTTATTTTCAATTATGAAAAACGATAAGAAGTAAGCACATGAAGTCCCCTATAACTTGTCTGCTATTCTGCTCAGCCTTGTTGGTTTTATCATAAATTGTTGGTGTGATTTAAATCGTAAAATTTCTCTTCATGTGATGTGTTTATTAGAAATTTCAGAATTTTTTTTTATGTGTACTGATCAAATTTAACATGCATTAATTTAGAGTGAGTAATACTAAACGACACACTAACTTTTGGTTACCAACTGATGTCACAGTGTTTCACTTGTTTTCTGTCTCGACCCACTTTGAACTTTATTTATTTATTGTTTTCTGTCTTGACCCACTTTGAACTTTATTTATTTATTAACAAATAAAAAATTTCGACATAAGTTGATAATTGAGTAACTCTTTATTTCAACGACATGAGAACAAAGATGACAATACATATATATCAAACAAGAACCCGACTTATTACATTAATGTAGATTTATTCTTGTAATTTTTGGTGAGCCATGAAATGCTTGCAAATAAGCAGTCTATGGCGATCATGAACCATCTACTTGGTGCTTTCAAAGCGACCTCGGAAGAAAGCAACTAGTTTATCTCATGGAGGCAAGATGTCCTGAAGAACATTGGCATATTCTCTATCTGGAAATAGAGCTCGAATGGAGGCTCGTATCCAAGTCCAACATACATCGATAACATAATTCAAGAGTAGCAGTAGTGCAGTGCTCAATGTGCCTAGAAGAACGTAAATAAACATGCTAGATAAGAGAAGAGCTAAGGAAAATATCTGTGTGCTGTATGTTTCCTGTCAGATAAAAGTGAGTCATAATTATTACAATCAGCTTTAAAATTTCTATTTATAACGTATAGCCGAGCGGCTATACTTTTAAAATATCTAGTTATGGGTTTATAGATTATAGCCGATCGGCTGTACCTTTAAAATTTCTATTTATATAGTATAGCCGCTCGGCCATACGTTTGCATCTCAGTCGTCTCCTCTTGAGCAACATCCGCTTGAGCTCGTACTTTATATCAGTCCCTCTTGTGACTTGTTTTTCACCTTTCTTGGACTTGATCAAGTCTTTTTATTTCAGATTCGTACTTCTCCTGCTCCAATATCTTTTTTTTCTCTCTCAAGTGTGTGGGCCTTTGCATTTGCCGCTTCTAATTTTTGACTTAAGTCCCTGATTTTAAGCTTCATCGATGATATTTCAGCACTATAACTATCTACTTTCGATTTGGCAGTCTGCAAAGCATGTGTAGTAGTCTTTTTATTATGGTCCACTAGTTTTCTCATCATGTTACGTGTTTACCAGAATTTTTAGAATGCATATCAGACTTAATGTGTATTAATTTAGAATGAGTAATACTAGACATAAAAACTTTTGGTTTATCAACTAATGTAGCAGTGTTTCACTTGTTTCTTGTCAACTTTATTTATTCGTAACAAATAAGAAATTGCCACATTGGTAATTCAGTAACTCTTTATTTGAATGACATCACAACAAAGATGGAAATACATAACTATCAAACAAGAACTTGACTTACTACATTCTTGTAATTTTTCATGAGGCAGGAAATGCTTGCAATAAGCAATCTATGGTTACCATGAACCATTTAGTTGGAAGTGGAAGTAGAATTAGAAGTAGTAGTGGTGCTCCCAAAGCTGACCCGGAAGAAAGCAACTAGTTTATCTCTTGCAGGCAAACTTTCCTGAAGAACATTGACGAACTCATCACTCCAATCGTATAGCTTGGGAAGCTTCTCTTTGGTAAAAATCTCCACTCCCACAACTTCTTGAATGGCTCTCAGCCAGTAGGCTATGAAGTTACCAACAATATCCACAAGGCCAACTTTCTCTCCCCCAAAGAACTTGTTACCCTTGAGCTCATGTTCAAGTAGTTTCAGAAGCTCACATGCTTCTTCCATAGCCTTCTCATGTTCCTCACTACCCCAGCAAGCATTCCATATTGCAGGCAAGCACTAAAGACAAACAAAACAAATAGAAAACTTATATTAGTGATTAGGTTGTGGTGTTTGATTGATTCAAATCTAGGTTTATTTTAAGCTAAATTTTTACTAACAAATTGTATTGACATGTGCACTCACAAATCATGTTAAATCGAATACACAAAGACTGAAGTGAAACACTTTTACCTTTTCATCAATGAACCTAGCCCAGAAGCGTGCATGGGCTCTTTCATAAGGATCTTCAGGCAAAATGGAAAACCCCTGCTTCCAGGTCTCATCAATATATTCAAGAATGACTTGGGACTCTGCTATTGGTTTGTCATTGTGCAGGAGCACAGGGATCTTCTTGTGAACTGGGTTGGATTTGAGAAGCAAAGCACTCTTGTTGTGCAGGTCCTCTTCAAAGAACTCATACTGCACCCCTTTCAGTCTCAGAGCTATTTCCACTCTGGAACTAAATGGGCTTTTCCAAAGCCCCAACAGCTTCACTTCCTCACCCATTATATCACTAATCAGTCAAGTTTTACTCTAACCCTTTTTGTATACATGACTGGATTTTCCTTCTGGGTTTTATAGGAGCAAGAACACAGTGTTAACTTGGGCATTCAGACACCTCTACACACGGTTCAAAAGTCAATAATCTTAATAAAATAGTGAGTTGGTGGCGGATGCATCTAGATGATGCTTTGTTGACAATTTGTTCATTGAAACTTTCTACTCTTTTTGTTGTTTCAAAGGACTATGTTAGCATTTGTCTTATTTATTTACTTTTTCTAAATTGGAAAACGAACTTATCCGCAATTGTCCCATTTCTGTTGGGACAATGCTTCGCTCCTGATTCCTCCTCCATAGCTGACGTGGCTTCCTTAAAAAACAACACATGTTTCTTCTTCTTCTTTGTTTTTTTTACTATTTTTCTTTCAACCCCATTAACTCAAGCCTTCGTCCAGAGAAAAAATAATCCAGAAACCACCCATACACTCCACCAAAACCCATGCGGCCAAGCCACACCGTCGTCACCCCAAGCCACCCTTAGCCAAACCCAACCCCATTACTGTTACCTCTCACTTCTCTGTATCAATTCCCATCTCCTCTTTCTCTGCTATGCATCAATTCCTAAATCCTAATCCCATCTCCTCTCTCTGCTCGGTATCGATTCCGGCCCAATCCGACGGAATTAATGGATTTATCCCCCTTTTGAACAATAAAATGCAGACAGACAATTGATGACAATCAACTCCGATCCTTGGACCCCGAGACGTCGTCGTTCGCAGACAACAGTTCTTGCTCAAAAACCTCACCTTCTTCCCCTATTCCAACCTACTGGGCTCCTCTATTGGTTTTATGGTGTATCGCCGCGCGGCTATACTTTTAAATTTTTTATTTATAGACCATCGCAGCTCGGCTGTACTGCTAAAATATTCAATAGTCTTAAAATATCGGCGTTACTTTTAAAATTTCTTTTTATGGATTATAGCCGTGTGACTTTACTTTAATTAATAATTAAATAATATCTTAGCCTTATTTAATTATTTTCATTAATAATTATATTTTAGTTGTTATTTCTTTAATGAATAATTAGATTTTAGGATTATGGATAGGGTTCGGGGGTTGAGAAAAGATTTTGGAATAAGTTCAGAAGCTAGGGTTTTTGGTTTGAGACTTGGATTTGCTCAAACTAATTTTGTATAAAATAATGAATTACTATTTGTTAAATCAGTAAATATTTAAATATTCACTAAAAAATAATTGAAACATAATTACTAATTAACAGAATTAAAAAAGACTAAGATATTATTAATTACATATATTAATTAAAGAAGTTGGCAAAAAAGAGAGTAAAGAGACTGATTTTATACTTTTAAAGCATATAGCCACGCGGCTATAGGTTTTAAAATTTTAGTTCGTGGAGTATAGCCGCCCGGATATACTTTTAAAATTTCTATTTATAGAGTATAGCCGTTCGGCTTTCCTTTCATTAGTAATTAAATAATACGTTAGACTTATTTAATTACTTTCATTAGTAATTATATTTTAATTATGATTTCTTTAGTGAATATTTATTATTATTATTTTTAATTAACTTCATAAATTATATTACTTGATAAATAGAAAAAAAATTTCTTTTTTTTTCTTTAATCAAAATATTTAAATATTAATTATTCCCTGAATAAATAATAATTAAAACATGACTACTAATTAAAGTAATTAAAAAAGAGAAATCTAGATTATGCTATTTAAAGGGTGTAGCCGTGTGGCTATACGTTTAAAATATTCTATTTATTGAGTATAATCGCTCGGCTATACTATCACTTGTTAAAATCTACCTCACTCAACTATAGTATGGTTATGTCGTTCTAACCATATATTGGGATAAAAACCCTAATGAACTAAGATATTGCTTAATTACATATATTAAATTTAGAGTTGGCCAAAAAATGAAAGTAAAGAAACTAATTTTATATTTTTAAATAGTATAGCCGCACGGCTATACATTTAAATATTATATTTTATAGAGTGTTTTTATTATATTTTACACCTTTCTTGGACTTGATCAAGTCCTTTTATTTCAGATTCGAACTTCTGTCCTGGATACATCTTCTCCTGCTCCAATATCTTTTTTTTCTCTCTCAAATGAGTGGGCCTTTGCATTTGCAGCTTCTAATTTTTGACTTAAGTCCTTGATTTCAAGCTTCGTCGGTGATGTTTCAGCACTATAACTATCTACTTTCGATTTGGCAGTCTGCAAAGAATGTGTAATAGTCTTTTTATTACGGTCTATTAGTTTTCTCATCATAAATTATAAATTTCTCAGCATGTTACGTGTTTAATTTTTTTAGAATGGATATCAAACTTATATAATGTATTAATTTAGAATGAGTAAACTAAACACACGAACTTTTATTACTTTATCAATTGATGTAGCAATGTTTCACTTGTTTCTTATCAACTTTATTTATTCGTAACAAATAAGAAATTGCCTCATCAATTGATAATTCAATAACTCTTTATTTGAATGACGTCACAACAAAGATGGAAATACATAAATATCAAACATGAACCATTTAGTTGGAAGTAGTAGTGGTGCTCTCAAAGCGGCCTCGGAAGAAAGCAACTAGTTTATCTCTTGGAGGCAAACTTTCCTGAAGAACATTGACAAACTCATCACTCCAATCGTATAGCTTGGGAAGCTTCTCTTTGGTCAAAATCTCCACCCCCACAACTTCTTGAATGGCTCTCAGCCAGTAGGCTATGAAGTTTCCAACAATATCCACAAGGCCAACTTTCTCTCCCCCAAAGAACTTGTTACCCTTGAGCTCATGTTCAAGTAGTTTCAGAAGCTCACATGCTTCTTCCACAGCCTTCTCATGTTCCTCACTACCCCAGCAAGCTTTCCATATTGCAGACAAGCACTAAAGACAAACAGAACAAATAGAAAACTTATAATAGTGATTAGGTTGTGGTGTTTGATTGATTCAAATCTAGGTTTATTTTAAGCTAAATTTCTACTAACAAATTGTATTGACATGTGCACTCACAAATCATGTTAAATCGCATACACACAGACTGAAGTGAAACATTTTTACCTTTTCATCAATGAACCTAGCCCAGAAGCGTGCATGGGCTCTTTCATAAGGATCTTCAGGCAAAATGGAAAAACCCTGCTTCCAAGTCTCATCAATATATTCAAGAACGACTTGGGACTCTGCTATTGGTTTGTCATTGTGCAGAAGCACAGGGATCTTCTTGTGAACTGGGTTGGATTTGAGAAGCAAAGCACTCTTGTTTTGCAGGTCCTCTTCAAAGAACTCATACTGCACCCCTTTCAGTCTCAGAGCTATTTCCACTCTGGAACTAAATGGGCTTCCCCAAACCCTCAACAGCTTCACTTCCTCACCCATTATATCACTAATCAATCAAGTTTTACTCTAACCCTTTTTGTATATATGACTGGATTTTCCTTCTGGGTCTTATAGGAGCAAGAACACAGTGTTAACTTGGGCATTAAGACACCTCTACACACTGTTCAAAAGTCAATAATCTTAATAAAATAGTGAGTTGGTGGCGGATGCATCTAGATGATGCTTTGTTGATAACAGTCTTATTTATTTACTTTATCTACATTGAAAAACGATAACAGCAAACCACATGAACTCATCTGCAATTGACAGTTCTTAGCCTTCCCCGTTGGTCATTGACTCGCTAGCTTTTATTGGTTTTATCATTTCTGTTGGTATTCGATTAGTCCAACTTATGTAAATTATAAAATTTCCATGTGATTTGGTCAGAGGCCTAGCAGTTAGATAGAGCACCTCCAGCGCAAGCCCAAACCATGGGCAAATGGCAGCCCCAGGCTACAAATCCACCCTCCAGCGTGCGCAGTTAAACCCGGGCAAGGTGTGGAACCCACCAGCCTGGGCAAGCCCACAGACAAAAATGGATTGGACTGTTGCCTATAGACTGTTGACATCAGTGTGACGTTATGCTGATGTCAGCATGACATCAGCGCTGACCCACCAACCCACAGAAACCAACGGCTATAAGCCACATGGCTTCTCTTGGAGCCTCCGATCCAAAAATTTTAAACAATCCAATGGTTGTCCAATTTTTGGCTAAAAAAATTAGAAATTTTTTTTTAAAAACTATCAAAAAAATTTGGAAATTTTTTCTATAAACACCTACTAATATTATTCACTTTCAACACCAAATCTTTATACAAATTCATCTCCTTCCAGTATTTTTCACTTTTCACACTAAATTTTCTACTACAAAATTCTATTTGTGCAAAAATACAAATGACATCTTCCATCGAAGCCAGAGAGTTGTGGACAAATGTTCGAAGATGTCAAAATCTTGGCGACAAGGTAAAAAATGAAGAAGGCCATTTTATTCAATTTAATGTCATTTTTTAAATTTATATTTCTTGCATTTCCAATTTCATTTTTTTAATAGATTAGTCAAGGCAAAACAAAAAAAAAGGAAAACCATTACACATGGCTCCTCAAGTGAACAATGTCTGCAGTCGATTCCAGTGGTGCGTTCCGTGTTGGAAATAATGACACTATTACTTCATCCGAAGGAAAATACTCCCTCACGTCGTGATCCGGTGTAACCGCCTCCGTCAATGATTGAGTCGTCCTTGTATTCAATTGTGTCGGATTATGAGGACCGGGAGTATTTCAATTGTATGACGAGTGAGATGTGAATTTTATAATAAATATGGACACGTGACAATTGAAAATCTTATCGGAAAATTTAATTTGAAAATTTTGTCTGAAAATGTTATTTGAAATTTTATGTGAGAATTTTATAATAAATAGTGACATATGGCAACCAAAAATTGTATTTGAAAAGCTTATCAAAATTAATAGTTTAAGTATAAAAAATAGAAAATAAATTAAAGTAAATAATAATTGCCCTTGCTTTTGCCCTTGCCTTTTGAGGTGAAACAAAAAATGGCAAGACTGCCACTATTCACATGAATAGTGACAAACCTTGCA